TCCCAACGTAAGCTGATAGCAGAGCAGCAAATCCAAATTATTAAAATACTGTAGTATAGTTTACCATTTATTGTATGATTTATGATGATTAAGACAGTTTTAGAAAACTTTATTTTCTACTGTTAGGTAGCTAAAAATATTAAAGACTAATTGAGATTAAATTTACTATAACCTTTATTCTATTATTACTTAATAACCATTATCATATTGCCGTTTTGGAGAAAAAGCACAAAATTGCTGTATAGAACATATACATGAACATATTTGATTAAGGGAATAGACTTTATTTTGTATCACGTATTATTTTTGTACAATTTTATGTTTTCATTTGATTTGTTTTAAATCAACACCATTTATCCAGAAGTCGCAAGTAAATATTGTTTCAGTATTTATAATTGTACAAAAAAAGGGGGAGCAAATAGCCCGAAATGCATATCCATCCCTTTGTACAAAAATAATATGTGATACAAAATAAAGTCTGCTCTCTCTATCAAGTGTGTTCCTGTATGATATGTTCTACACAGAAATTTTGTGTTTTTTTCCCAATGAACATAGACGAAGAAGCAATCAAATATTGCCGTATTTTTCGCATTATAAGACGTATAGAAAAATGTGTTGGGGTCAATACAACGGTGTGTCTTAAAGGTAAAAAATACGGCATGTACTGCACAAACTAAGATCATTGATGACGGGAGTAGATAATTAATGGATAAAATGCATAATTTTAAGTATTTATCGGAAAAATTGAAATAATATTGCAATTACATTCACTTAATTTTAAGATTACCACTCATGATTTACTGTAGGGCAGTGTTTTTCAACCTGTGAGTTGCGACCTCAGGGGAGTCGCGAAACCTTACACCGGGGGTCGCGGGTAAAAGAAAAAGACAAGTGTTTGTAGGTTTCTACACTACAATAAAAAACCCACAATTTCAGTGAGAAGGCTTTATTTTACAGTACAATTGGTTTTTCGATCAATATTTAGATCTCAACAGAAAGAAAATTAAATACGTAGTTTTTAAAATCACTGATATAGATTTAATATGGCCATGGGAGGTCGCCAGAATTTTTTAACTTCTAAAAGGGTCGCGTATTCAAGAAGGTTAAAAAACACTGCTGTAGGGCATAGGGTTTCTCAAACGGGATCTCGGGATTAAACGGGATTCCGGGTTAAAAAACAACCGTTTTTTAACCCGGAAAATATCCCGGAAAATTTTTCTTATCCCGGGAAATCCCACAAATTTCTTAAAAATTCACTTTTTTCTTATTTTATGTTAAGGTTCTGTAAATTTTGCAAATAGAAAGTATAATAAACTCATAAACTGTCAGAATACATTTGTATTTATTAATTTTAAAAGTACTTATTAGTTTTTTAATTTTTGCTCGTTATTATGGCATGTCACAAATGGTCAATAATCAATACGTAGCTTATTTGTGGCAGGAATCTCAAAATTCTTTACCTGTAATATCTGAAATAATTGTGCTTATGCTGTCTTAATTTTTAACCATGCCAGTGGTGTCAGCCTCCCGTGGCGGAGGAAAATTTCGGCCCCCTTATTTAGGTACAGTGGTACCTCAGGTTACGAACGCCCCAGCATACGAAATTTTCAGGATACGACATGAAATTCGAACATATTTTTGCTCCACGATACGAACAAAAACTCACCATACGACGTTACATTAGTTCGCATTTTTCATTTGTTTTTCTTACTACGGTTATTTTTTTTAATGTATTACTTGGCTTTAATTTGAGTATGTTTTTCACGTTGGAACGAATTATTTGGTTTTACATGTAATCGTATGGGAAAAGATGATCCACCTTACGACATTTTCATGATACGATCTCAGTTTCGGAACGGATTAATTTCGTATCCTGAGGTACCACTGTATTTCAATTTCAATTTAACACTATCGTAGGCGCGATGCAAGCATAGATTAGGATGTTTCAAATTTTTACAAGATATTATTATTATTTATTGTGAAATTTTGTCGCCCCCTAAAAGGTAATTTTGCCGCCCCTAAAAAGTGTCGCCCCCGCTACGGTACGCTACTGATACTCTTAAAGGAAATTATACGTCGCTTAATCGTCACAGCCGATGTTCGATCCGATTTTTAAAAATTTTTTAAATTATGTGTAAAACGTGGCAATATTCTATAAATAGAACAGTTATTTTCGTTTTGACTTTTCCTGACGAAGGCCGATTAACGAGTGGCCGGAAACGTTCGAATGTTGAATTTGGGTGTTTTGCTGGAAATTTGACGTTTAGGTGAGAGTACAGAATATATATCGTTCCAGTTTACTTTGTGGTTTTTATATATTTACCATGATAATTTTCTCATGTATCAACCGAAATTTTTAGGAGCAGATTGTTTGGTGTCTTTTAAGTGTCGAGATAACCTTTTCAAACAATCAATAACCCACATATCTACACACTTTAGAAACCCGATAAAATTTTTACGAAACACGAAAAAATATTTTAACAGATGTTGAATATTTATTTTTTAAGGTAAACCCGTGGTTGCATGCCACATTTGGCACACGTGTCAAAGGTTACCCTCCCAATGTTGTGTATTTGTTTTCTGTAAAAACCCGTTTATGTATTACTGGAAATTTACGCATCATAGTTTTTAAAGTAATTGTTATTTTACATAACTTCATTTCTTTCTATTCAGATATAACAAACATTTCTTTTTTCAATCATTTTTATCTAAATCAGACTTTACATTTTATAAAAAGTATGTCTAAACACGAATTGTCACATTACAATGTTTTTGTACTCATAAATGCCAATAGATGTCGCTTTCTTTACACTGTAACAAGAATATAGAAATTCATGCGATATTTGAACTGATTAAACGTGATTTCATTTTTGAAATTATTTTTTTATAATATTCATTATATCTCCGATATTTTGTTAAACAATATAAGCTTAATATAATAAATTTCCAGCATATTTCAATGATCATACACTCACTGGCCAATGAATTAGAAATAGCAGTTTAATATTTTATTGGACCACCTTTAGCTCGAATTACATAATTTACTTGATTTGGCATGGATTCTACAAGGTGCTGAAGTGTTTCTAAGTCGAATGCACACCGGGTATTAACTAGACTTTCTTTTAGTTCGTGTAGATTTGACGGAAGTGGACTTTGCTGGTGGATCTGTCGTTCTAACATGTCCCATATGTTTTTGATGGGGTTAAGATCTGGGCTCTTGGTTGCCAGGGTGAGCGGCAAAAGTTATCTTAATGCTCGCTGAACCACTGCTGAACAATTGAGTTATGGTCAGTAGCGTTGTCATCAAAGAAGGAGCCATCACATGCAGGAAAAAAATGCAACATTGCAGGATGAACTTGATTGACAACAATGTTCGAGTACTTGTTGGAAGTCACCTGACTTTTCAGTAATATCAGCGGACCAGTTTTGTTCCAACAGAACATACCCCATACCATAACCTTGAGTCATGTTAATGAAGCAAGCAGGGTCCATTGCTTCATGAGGTTCCCTCCAAACCCTCTGTCTACCATCAGTACAGAATAAGGTGTACCGTGATTCATCTGACCACATCACTTTTTTTCAGTCCTCAGATGTCCAATCATGATGCTCTTGGCACCACTATAGACAAACTTTCTGGTTTGTCTATACAGAAATCAATGGTTTTTATATAGGCCTGCAACTGTTCATACTGATTCTTTTCAGTTCTCTGCACATAGTTCAGGTAGATATGTGTCGGGGACAGGACTCATTACATTCTTCTGTCAATTGCTTTAGTGAGGAAGTTCTTTTTCTTTTTTTGCACTAGCCTTTTCAGACAATGTCGGTAGAGTTCCTGATTAACTGTTTTGGAGCCACAGTTACTTCTTTTAGACATAAACTGCAAATTACTTTTTAACACTATGGGTTTTCTCATCTTTGAAAAAACTAGTCAGCTCTACAATTCTTGATATCGTGGCTCCAATGAAACGGGCACCCATAATCAGCCTTTTTTGAAACTCTGTCAAGTCCTTTGCTTTTCCCATTTTCATAAACTTAATGACCATACTGACCAACAGCATTCTTAAATAGGAGCTTATGAACACATGGTAACTCATATGACTCAAGTGTTTTGCATATACTGTAAAATGCAAAATTACATTTACTTAATTAATATGCACGGGGGTTTCTAATTCATTGGCCATTGAATGTACTTGAATGAAATTACAAAGTCAACTTGGCAAAATCAGTTTTTATTCATTTTTCCGAAAAAAATAAATTAATATGCAATTGATTGATTGCTTTTTATCTAGAAAAAATTTTAAATAACTTAAAAATGTTAGCATACAACTTATTAATGAAAATATCAATTTCATGAAAATAAATGAATTTTATTCTTTTTTAGTCATTTTTATGCATTAACAATAATTTAGAAGAATTGGTTTTTAAAAAGCTATTTACAGTATAATCTTTGTTTATCTGACCTTTAATAATTCAGCCTTTTCAATATCTGGCCTACTGCCCAGTGTGATCACTTATGTGCTCCTATTTCTATGAAAATGTTAGTCAGGCCACATATCCTGTTTTCTCAGTTTCATTTCTGTGTATAATATTGCATGCCAGCACACCATGTTATTTGCCTGTCTAACTGCCTCCCTTCCTCCCTCCAAAAAGAATCAGTACTGAAGGCACGCCATTCACTGCCTTTAGTTAGGCTTTACCCCTATATACTCAATAATCTGACACTCCTGGGCATTTCTTGCACAAGACAAGGAATGGCCAGATTAGTAAGATTAGTATAATTAGAAAATTATAACTTATGTTAAGAACAATCCAAATTCAGTTGTTTTCTGCGTGTTTTCTTTAATCATCACAGTGCATCACAGTGTTGCACATAATAAAGACGCGATGTCTTGTGATGTGATAATATTCTGCAAGTTGTTACAAATAATTAATTTAAAATATGTTTTATAATAAACTATACATATTATTTTGAAATTTAGTAATTTTTAAAAATATTTCAGACATCATGTTTTACAAATTACCAGTGGTTTACATGATCTAGGAGGACTTCGTTTAGAATTAGCATTATATCTTTTATTAGCATGGTTTCTTGTGTATATTGTTATTTGGAGAGGAATTCACCAAAGTGGAAAGGTAGGTAACATTAACAGTTTAACATTACTGATATTATTTGAAAAAATTTTATAATAATTTTCATTTTATATTAGATCATATGGTTTACTGCTCTCTTTCCATATGTTATTCTTCTCATATTGTTTGGAAGAGGAGTGACATTAGAAGGTGCTTCTACTGGTTTGCTATATTACATCAAGCCTAAATGGGAGAAGTTGCATGAACCAAAAGTAATATTTTTTTATTATTCTTATTATAACTTATTATTTATTCTTTCTGTTTACTTAAATGTTACTTGAACATAGAGAATGATTTAAACTTCATAAAAATTTTATATTATTAATGATATATAGTTTAGTACCAGATATTTCTGGATATAGGTCCTGGGCTTAATTTTGAAAACTAAGTTGCTAGTCTAATGTACTAAAGAAAAAATAAGCCCACATTTACTTTTGAAAATTAATTATTAATGATAATTACATCATTTGTCAGCAGAAGAATCATAATGTTCATCAGTTTCTTCATTAGAGCACACCAATCTTTGAATATTATTCCTGTTGTATTTGTCATTATTTTTGAATTGTCAAGTTTATCAACACCAACTATGTCAAAGAGTTTAGAGTTAAATTTTTTCTGCAGTATTTGTAATCCAAATATACAGTAGAGCATCGATTATCTGACCCCGATTAACTGTCACATCGGTTAACCAACCGTTCTAGTCGGCAAATTTCAAATTTCCGCTAGTGATGTGGCATTACAATATTTGGCTATGTCTTGGCTACTTTAATATTATTTTTGTTAAATTTTTGCATGTTTTAGCTGGCATCAATGGCTCGACCATTGAAGGGAGGACAATATTTAAACGAAACTTAATTTTTTAATTTTGCGTGGTTGTTTGTTTTGTGAGCAATAAAATAATTTAAAAATAATTTTTAATGATACAATAGCGATGATTATTATTTTTTTAAAAAATTTGTTAGGCTAAACATTGATGAAAATTCAATGCAAAGTTGGTTAATAGTGATATACTAATAAACTAATTACATGGGATATACTAATATCCTATTATACTATACTAATAATGTATTTTTTCCTTCTTTTCGGTTATCCGATTTTTTCAGTTAACCGACCAACCTGAGTCCCCAATTGAGTCAGATAATTGATGCTCTACTGTACATGAAAAATTGCATGTTTGGAATAGTAAGTCTGCAAGGATGATATAAACTATCCATTGTTACTGTAACAATGGTTTAATTAATTCAGAAAAGGCATCCGTATTTCCTATCCTTTACTTCAAAGGAAGTTGTTTCCTCTATAATTATGTCACTCCAAAGTTGGAGGACAAAGTTGTATATCAAAATTGTGGCTCTAAAAATTTTGTCCACCACTGTAAAACATAAAATGTAGTGATGAAATATAGAGAAAAAATTTAATAATTTTAATATGACAATTACAGGTAGTATATTCAATAAATTAAAAAATAACAAGTTCATATATATTTTTTTTAAAACTAATAGAATTATTTATTTATTTTATTTTTAAATGTAAAAGTTTTATTTACTTAGCATTCAATAAAACAAAATATATAAATGTTTAAATGCATATGTATTTAAATATTTTAATTATTTCATTATCAATTTCTAGGTTTGGGTTTCAGCTGGGACTCAAGTTCTTTTTTCATATGGAATTGGAATTGGAGCTAATATTGCACTTGGAAGTTATAATAGATATCGTCATAATTTTTACAGGTTTGTGATGTATAAATGTTTATTAAGTTTATTTAATTGTTTAATTCTTAAAAAGTCAAAATTTGGTTTTGCTGCCTTCATAAAAGAAGTCAAATACAAGTAACTTTAAACAGTGATTTTGAACTTCCTGAACATTTTTTGTTTTTAATAAATCTAATTTCAATAGTAGATTAAAATCATCTTTAATTAACAAACTGACACTACATGATGTATTAATATATTATTAATGGCAATTATCTACATTAAAATAATTAAAATTTTATAATATATATATTGCAGAGCAAACAAGGCATTAATGATGCTAAAATAAATTGTTATTTTATAACAGCTACCTGACAGTGTGTGGTCCGTAAGTTCTGAGACTGAGTGTTACAAGTATAGCCATAAAAAATATATAGTCATTTCTGTCCTTGTAACCAATGTTGAAGTTTATGAATAATTTGAATTGTGGTCCTTTGATCTCAAATACATTACTGTTTAGTGAAACATATTTTTTTGATGGATTCTAAAAAAAGATTATGTTACAATCAAATTTTGTTTTGAAACCAATTATCAGCTATGATAATGGACTTCAAAACAACATCTTTGGAAATAATAAAAAGAGGCTTATGCAAAGAGGCATTAAGTTGAGCAAGCATCTTTTGATATGCCAGATTTCATAAAGGAAGATAGAATCAGTAGAGGACTATGAGCACAGTGGTCATTCCACAATAACCCAAACAGGCAACTACATTGCCACTGTACCACAAGTGATTAATTAACTGTAAAAACAGCAAAGTGCTGAATGGGTTGTGAAAATTCACCAGAACCAAAAAAAAATTGTGATTTAAGAAGCCATTAGTAAAAAGAATGCTCTTTTTTATTTTTTTGACAGTCATAGTATAGTTGCACAAAGAATTTTTGTATAAGGTATCAAGGTAAATCAAGAATATTACAAATGTATAATGAGTCATTTTTTAAGTGGATACAATGTGTTTTCTGATCTGTATTTGCACATGTGATATCTTTCATTTTGCACAACAATGTTCCAGCTTATTCAGCAACAATTATATGACAATTTTTGGCTCAAAAACAATCATAATATAGATTACCTTCTCTATTCACTTGACTTGTCATCTCCAGACTGTTTTTTATTCCCAAAATTAAAATTGCAATTGAAGGTCAAAGATTTGATATTTTCAAAACTGAAACTACTTAACCAAACCAACTATAAACTATTACAAAAGAGGAGTTTTCAACAACAATGCAACAATTAGAAAAGAGAGCTGAACAGTATATCAGTTATAATGGAACTTATTTTGAATAAAAAAGTAAAATATTATTCTGAGTTTTTTATATGAACATTGTCTCAAAGTTATGGATTGCCTTATGGGTTGCATTGTGTATTAACAGTTCTAAATATTAACGTTAAACAGTATGCAATGAACTTTTAACTTGAATCATCAGATGTAACAAAATTATATATAAAATATCAAAATTTCTAATTTTATGTTATTCTTAATTAATTGAAAAAAGTTAACAAAATTTACTCACTTATAATCTGTTTTAATAGATTATATGTTATGTGTTTGAAAATATGCAAGTAAAATGGGTAGTTTTTATAACTGCATTTTATATGCCTAATGATGACTTGAAAAGTTTAATTCCAAAAATTTAAATATTTAAGTTAAACTGTGAAAAATAAGCCATATTCTTACAGTCATATATGTTAGACATCAGAGCACAAATTTTAAATTTTATTAAAAATATCTTCTTTTAAAAATGTAAACTTTAAAATTTATATTATTATATTGCAATAACCCTTCCATATGTTAAGAATAGTGACTTATTTCTTCATTTTTTGAGCTTGTTATTTATTTTGAAGATTACATAACAAATTTTGATTTATATTAATAATAATCTATTTATATTAGACTATTATGTACCAGTACTTATTCTAATAATATTAAATTCTTTGCTTTTAGAGATTCACTGATTGTATGCTGTATAAGCAGTGGTACCAGTTTATTTTCAGGACTCGTAATATTCTCAGTTTTAGGTCATATGGCATTTTTACAAAACAAAGATGTTTCTGAAGTTGCCAGAGCAGGTGAATAATATTTGTTCCAAAAATTTAATTATCTTAAATGTTTTCACTAATGATTTTTATGTGGAAAAACAAATTCTACTTTTAATTAGATGTAGAAAATTTCAAATTTAAAAATACTGCTGTGATATGAAGTATATTCATAAAAAACTTATGTGACAAATTTAACTGTAATTGCTACTAGGATCAAAGTTTTTAATTTATGAATCATTAAGAATTTTTTAGAATAAATGTTTTATCTTTAAATCTAATAGATATAGAAATATCACTTACTTTTAAATCCATTATTAAGATATTTGTGAAGTTAGAAACATTAATATCAATTTTAAGTAATTCTGCTAGATACTTAGAATTATTAATTATTATTTCATTATTACATTTTTAGCATTTCGTACAAAATAAATAATATGTAATTTAATATATGTAAATTAAAAACAAATGATTAAATGAAATAAATAAAAAAGAAAACATTTGATAATTTGCATTAAATGAATTATTCAAGAATTAGAAAGAAAAATAAGAATTGCCAGAGATTGCATTTGTTTTTTTTTTTATCATTAGCATAAAAGACTCAACTCTCATTTATAGTCATTAAAGAGCTATACTGCCAATTTTTAAATATAAATGACTTCTTTCTTAAAAGATAAATCTTAGCATGATTAAATATATATATATATTTTATTTATTTATATATTAATTTAAAATGTAACATGTTGGTATTTATTATTTACATTTAAAGTTTAAACTCCAATATGTTGTATCTTTTAGTATTTTTTTTTTTTTGAATGAATCTCTGATATTTTATACAAATGATATGTTCACCAAAGAAGGAGAGCAAGATCTAAATACAATTTACATATTTGGTCCCAAAGAGATATTGAATCTATGACCTGTAGTTCAAATGCCAAACATTTTAATAATTTGAGTTACTGTGACATACTTATTCTATTTTCTATTGGGCCTGTTCAAATCACTTTAGGAATAGTCAATATAAACATATTTTTTTTATCTCTTTGAAGTTCTTAATACATTTTTGAATGAACATATGACTTATACATTAAGAATTATACCTTGGATATATTTAACAAAACTGACATTCACAAATATTAAAACATTGCATTTATGACTTTGTTCTGAAAACATTCAGTTTTAGCAAATTTGATTTAAAATTAATTATTTTCAGAGTAAAATTAAAATTTATTAGAATACAGGATTAGTTGTTTTCTAGTACATTAGATGGTTAAAATATTGATGAAACCTTGATATTATTGAATTGAATATTATATTTACTCTCTATTGAGAGCAAATGTATTTGTCTTGATTTTGATTTCTTTACCAGGGATTACGTTTTGTATATTTCTTTATTACTAAAATGGACATCTTTTTATGATCTAAACTATCATTTTTATTTGATTTTTTTTTTATATAGTTAGCTCAAAAATGTCAATCAAATACAATATATGAATGTTGAGAGTTTATGTTAACTGTATTAGTAGCATTTCTTGCTTATTTTGATTTCTTTACAATTTTCTAGATCCATATTTTAAGATGGTTACCTACTTCTGGTATATATTAATACAATTTTGAAATTATTTGAGATGATTAATTGCTTAAGATTTTATTGAAAATCAAATAAAGAAATCCAATTTAATTAATTAACATATGGTATTTCTATTTGTAAGTCTACATACAATGAAAATATTATTTATGTATATTACTAAACTATTAATAAATCAGTGTTTATGAAATCCACATTTGGATGTTGATCTAATTTTTCATTAATATCAGAAAAAAAAATTACAAGTAAATTTTTCAAAAGAAAGCATTTTAAAACATTCCAAAAACACCTTAAATATTACAATCACTTTCATCTCTAATGTTTTTGGCTGTATTTAACCAATCTTCTTCAGGATAAACTTATAAAACAAATGATGGCTGCATTCAAATAGAATGAAAAATATAAAACATTCCAGAATATACAATTTAAATGTTCATTTTTTTTAATATTTAAATTAATTGACAAATGAAAGAAATAATTTATATTGTATTAATATAAATTACAAAGTAATATTTATGTATATTATTATGTTACAATATAAATTAATATAAATTATTTCTTTCATTTACAGATTGAGAAACATTGAAAAGATTTTATTTGAATGTTACAATTAAAAATTTAAAATAATAACTTTAAATTAATGTTTAACACATTTTAATATTTTTATAGGTCCAGGTTTAGCATTCCTTGCTTATCCAGAAGTTGTTGTTCGTTTGCCATTATCTCCTCTTTGGGCAGTACTATTTTTCTTAATGTTAATTATTTTGGGAACAGATAGTCAGGTAATCACATTTGTTAATTTAAATATTTATTAATTCATTCTTACAATCAATAAGATTATTCTATACATATACAGTGGTACCTCAGGATACGAAATTAATCCGTTCCGAAACTGAGATCGTATCATGAAAATGTCGTAAGGTGGATCATCTTTTCCCATACGATTACATGTAAAACCAAATAATTCGTTCCAACGTGAAAAACATACTCAAATTAAAGCCAAGTAATACATTAAAAAAAATAACCGTAGTAAGAAAAACAAATGAAAAATGCGAACTAATGTAACGTCGTATGGTGAGTTTTTGTTCGTATTGTGGAGCAAAAATATGTTCGAATTTCGTGTCGTATCCTGAAAATTTCGTATGCTGGGGCGTTCGTAACCTGAGGTACCACTGTATTCAAATATTTAATACTATATAATTTATATGCTTGTACTATTAAAAAAGTATTTAATAATTAAGCTGCAATATAATAGTATACAATATGATTTATTTTAATAATTATATTTATACAAAAAATTTTTATAAAATTATGCAATTGAAACTCTTCTGAATTGTTTCTACTGGATAATCTTAGCAGATTAATATAAGAATAATTTTTTAGCAGTTAAACATCCTATCTGAGATATTTATGTTAGTTTTTAATGATAATTTTACATTCTAAACTATTAAAATTTATTTTTTCTATACAAATATTTGATATCTTAATAAATTTAGAATTGTGTAGGCAGTGATTTTCAAACTTTCTGTACCTTTGGCCCCTCTTTTTCAGAAAAATTGTTGCACCCCCTCAATCCTCATAACAACTAATTTCATAAATACTGTTCTTATAATTTATTTAATGGCCTATAAAACAATATACATTATTAAATGAACTTTATTGTTTGCTGGAGCAAACAATATAGTTTATTTAATAAGGTATATTGTCACAACATTTCAACAAGAGTGTGGATGGATTTTTAGTGTTCAAACCTGAGTCATTTGGATGAGGGTGAATTAGGCATAACCATTTTGCTGATTTTTTTTTTCGACATTGATTTTTTTACTTTTTTTTGTTTGTTTGTATTAAAAAATGATAATTTGGTAAAAGCTGCATCCCCGTTGCAATAGTCTCACACTCCATGGACTGGAAAACACTTGTGTAAGAGTTTCAAATCTCTATATCAAATACAAGTTTTTAATTTTTGGCATAAATTAAATCATGAATTTAAACTATATTTATGAAATTTAATTAAAATTAGAAATAAATTTAAATGTGAGTGAAGTATTATATTTTTTGTAATCATCACTTTTTGAACATTTATAAATTTTTGAAATAAATAAGAGATTCTTTATTAATTATTTATTAATTAAATCTTTTAGTTTTGTACAGTAGAATCATTTGTAACAGGAATTGTAGATGAATTTGCAACAGTACTCCGTCCTCGGCGCAGATTATTTACATTAGGTATTGTAGTGATCCAGTTCTTATTAGGATTACCACTAGTCACTCAGGTAATTTCCAAAATACTGTTTGTATTTTGTTAGTATTTATATAAAATATTAGTATACATAAAAATTAAATTTATTTTTGTACTATAATGTATAATTATTTAATCCATAGGGTGGAATGTATTTGTTTCAACTGATGGACTTCTATTCAGCTAGTGGAGCTACTTTACTTACTGTTGTATTTTTTGAAATAGTTGGATTATCCTGGGTATATGGTAAATATTTGCAATTTTCTACTTACATGTTATTTTTTATTTTAAGTAATTATGTAAAGTAACTTATCATATTATTAGTATTTTTATTCTGATCAGATATTGAAAAGTCTGAATACTGAAAATAAAACCTGATAATATTTTAAATCAAAGTATTCCAAATATATTTTTAAAATGGGTTAAAATTTTTAAATGAATAGTAGCAGCATGTCCATTTCTCATTAAGATTTTCCAATGAGAAGTCTCAAGCGTTTTGCAATGATTTTAAACTTCCATTTTAACTGTATTTAACTTAAACTCAATTATAATATTTTCAAACTATACTACTCAAAAGTGAAATTGCAACATCACAAAAGAATACATGTCACATGCACATTGCAGGACCAATAGAAGTGATAGAGATATGCAAATGATTAAAAGAACAAACAAATATATGCAACAGAAGCCTGTTTATTCAGTAACAAATATGGCTCCCAGGGGCACATATATAGGCCACTATATGGAGAGGCATACTATCAATGAGGTGATTAATGGTTTCATGAGATATCCCTATCCAAGCTGCATTCACTGCAATGTGCATGTCTTCAACAGTATGTGGTGGTGATCCCTGGTGTACTTCATGTCGGATAAGATCCTGCAGATGTTCAATGGGAGAGAGATCTGGCAAGGCTGCTGGCCAGGGAAGGATGTAAATCCATTCAGGCTGGTGAGAGTTTGCCTTGCAATGTGCAGTTAGACATTGTCTTGCTGGAACACTGTCTGGTGTGGCCTGCACCATTGGCCGAACCTCAGGCCCCACAATTCATGCAATGTACTGGTCTGCTGTCAGAATACCAGAAATGTACACTAGGGCTCTCCACTGATAGAAACATGATATCTCTCCAAACCATGATGTCCAATGTGGGGCCAGTGTGACACTCGACAAAAAGGACTGGCACATTCCCCAGGATACCACCACACCCATCCATGGCCATCATTCCTCCACAGACAGAAGCGTGATTTGTCTGTAAACAATAAACTCAATGCCATCCAGTTGCAATGATAATGACACTGCGCCAGGCATGCAGCCCTGTGTCAAGCAGTTAATGGCATTTGCAATAGTTAAAAATACTTTCAACAGGTTGCATGAAGTCAGGTGTACAGTCTGACTTTCATGCAAGCTGTTGCAAATGGTTTGGATGGACAGAGATGCATCTGTTGGTGGTGACAGACAGCTTTGAATGTCACTTACTGTGGTGAATGGGTTCCGACAGGTTGTTTGGCAAATCTGCCAGTCTGTAAGCTGGTGTGATCTGCTCCTGCTTTGTCATGTTTGCAGTGGTTTCTGTGTCCATTGTGTCACACATTGTTGAATGGTACTCACATTGTGCCCAGCATGTATGGCAACTGCACATTTTGACAAACCAAGGTCAAGCAGCTTTAGGATATGGTCTTGTTCCCCAGCTGTTAACTGGTGGTATCCAGCTTGATGGGCTCTGAGGCATTTTCTACACTTCTTCAAAAGTTTGGCTGACACAATCACTGANTGTGCCCAGCATGTATGGCAACTGCACATTTTGACAAACCAAGGTCAAGCAGCTTTAGGATATGGTCTTGTTCCCCAGCTGTTAACTGGTGGTATCCAGCTTGATGGGCTCTGAGGCATTTTCTACACTTCTTCAAAAGTTTGGCTGACACAATCACTGATAGCATTTATGGCCCATGACAAATACTGGTCTTTATAGCCAAACTGGATATTACATGACACAATTCATATACAAACTTAACCATTTGCATATCTCCTGCCAGTCCTGCAATTGGATGTGGCTGCACATGTTTCTTCATGGTGTTGCAATTTTACTTTTGAGGAGGGGACTTAGATAAACTAATTTTGTTCATATTTCAACAGTCAAAACTAGTTTAAAACTCTTTTTATATACAGTGGGTGATCGGTTAATGAACAAATCTGATAACGAACACTTTCGCGAAAGATTTTTATGTTCGGACAACGAACACCCCACAGAACAAACACAAGAAGCAGCGACGTAAAATAATGAATACTGATTGGTCTTCCCTCATCTTCAGACAACAATTCGAAACTTTTCGGAGTGTGGGAGACGTCGACATCGACGCTCAAGCCGGTATATACCGATCGGATAGTATTCCTCCGAACTTCGAAACNGCTTTAGGATATGGTCTTGTTCCCCAGCTGTTAACTGGTGGTATCCAGCTTGATGGGCTCTGAGGCATTTTCTACACTACTTCAAAAGTTTGGCTGACACAATCACTGATAGCATTTATGGCCCATGCCAAATACTGGTCTTTATAGCCAAAACTGGATATCACATGACACAATTCATATACAAACTTAACCATTTGCATATCTCTATCACCTTACCAGTCCTGCAATTGGATGTGGCTGTACATGTTTCTTCATGGTGTTGCAATTTTTCTTTTGAGGAGGGGACTTAGCTAAACTAATTTTGTTCATATTTCAACAGTCAAAACTAGTTTAAAACTCTTTTTATATATTTTTTTTATATAAGCAATTACAAAATTCTTTTAATAATGAATTAACTGACATGCTTTTCTCCCTTATTTATTTCTAATGAATTTTCTTTTTCTTTAATAGGTGCGAAAACATTATATAGTAATATGCAAGATATGTTAGGATTTAAGCCAAATTATTATTTCTTTGTTTGTTGGGTATTTTTTGCACCAGCTCTAGTTGTGGTAAGGATTATAATTTAAAAAAATTTTTTAAAGTAAGAATAAAATAATTTTTAATTGTAAATTATAATAATTCTTGAAGAAGAATTGAGTTATAACTGAATTTTATTGTAATTAAAATTTTATATCACAATATATGTGATATAAAATGTTAATTACATAATATGAATAATTGTCAACTGATATCATTTAAAGTGAATTGTTTTGAATGGCTATTTTGGATTGGATATTTATTGACTGGTAATTTTTGTTTGTTTTTCTAAGGAATTATCTAATTTTTCTTGACATTTTATCATTTTCTTACATATTATAGATATTATTTATGATGTCACAATGTCACACTGCAATTTTTAATCATATTTTTAGTTTGTTTATTTTTAAAATATGCTCTCCACCTCAAATTAATACTGTAATGTGATATAAAATGTTAATTACATAATATGAATAATTGTCAACTGATATCATTTAAAGTGAATTGTTTTGAATGGATATTTTGGATTGGATATTTATTGAATGGTAATTTTTATGTTTGTTTTTCTAAGGAATTATCTAATTTTTCTTGACATTTTATCATTTTCTTGCATATTATAGATATTATTTATGATGTCACAATGTCACATTGAGATCTTTGATCAATTGTAATAAAAAACAAAATTAATTATAAATAAAACTTTATACTACTTGATTACTTGAATCCTGTAACTGACCCTTTCAAAATCTTCGTGTTTCCAGTAAATTACAATGTCTACTTGTTCACTCAAGTAGACATTGTAATTTACTGGAAACACAAAGATTTAGAAGGTATAGTCAACCCCCATAACACGGTAGATACGTTCCAGTTGTCATGAATCCATTTTCTATGAGTCCAGCCAATCACAGCACATATGCAGTTTACGGATTATGGCTGTTTGAAAGGTTTCGTCCATAAATTTAATCGATTCTAGACTAATTCAACTCAATATTTCCAAAATACATATAATTTTTTGGGAATAATCCATATAAACTATGCTATAAACAAAAAATTGTAGGATTACTTACCGAGCACGCACCGTTCGACTATGCCATTGCTTAAGCTTGTTTTCGTTGTGGAGCTTGTCATCGAATGGCACTCACGTGCTTCCTGATAAATTATTTTTTTTGCAAAAAATTTGCTGAACTTTGGAGACATCATTAATATAAATATAATTTTTATGGACATTAAATAATAAATGGTTTTTAGTAGGTTCACTGTTCGTTTAAACTCAACTGTTTGGGCAATATCCGCTATTGGTCTAGATTTGACCAATCCTGTTGTGACATACATCGGCGATGACATTTTACCGAATTATAGGAGTTTTTTTAGCATGTTTGTACGAATACTGTTGCAATTTTTTCACCGTGATATAGGAATCCGAACTATAGGAACCCATGTTATAGGGGGGGCGACTGTAATGTGTTTTTCAATAGATGCAACAAGCATTTGAATAAACATATTTTCTTAAAATTAAGAATTAAATCTTTTCCTTTTTAAAATATAAACTACAGTAGAGCGTCGATTATCTGAATCAATTGGGGACTGGGGTTGTTCAGAAGATCGATGTTTCGGATAACCGATTATGTACGAAAAAATATATTAATTTATCCCATCTTGACATTTTTCTCTGTAGCGTGTCGCTTCCTGTTGAATTTTTGTCAATGTTAAGCGTAACGAAGACTATTGTATCGTTAAAAATTATTTTTTTATTTTGTATGAACAAAATAAATATATTGAAAAATATAAAAACAATAAAAAATTATACTTCAGAAGTTAATTTAGTATCAAAAACATAAAATATTTGAGTAGCCCAAGACATAGCCAAAGATTGCAGCACCACAGCACTGGCGAAAATTTAAATTTGCCGACTGGAATTCTTTCGAATGATTGACTTTCGGATAATTGACGCTCTACTGTATTACTGCTATGTTTTTGATTATTAAAAAATTGAATACAAGTTATTAATTCTTCTCTTATTTTATTCATTTATTTTTCAAGTGCTATTATTTTTAATTGTTTGAATTGTTTGCCATATAAATAAGCATTTTTTTCTTTCCATATTGTGATCAGTATAGGAATATAATCAAAACAACTTAAGTTTAGGATAAATTTTTTGTTTTTTATTTTCATTTAATTAAGTAACTTGATATTCTGTTTATATTTAATTTTTACAGGTTAGATTAATGAAATTTTATTACATAGTAAATGAAAACTGTTTTTGATTTGAAAACGTTAACTTGTTTTTAATTTTTCAGGGAATTTTCTTATTTTCAGTGATTCAGCATGAGCCTTTAACTTATGCTGATTCATACACATATCCATGGTGGGGAGAAATGATGGGATGGGGAATGGCATTAGCATCTGTAATATGGATACCTGCTTATGCTATATATTATATTTTGAAAACTCCAGGAAATTTGAAAGAGGTATGTATATTTAAAAAATATATAATTATGCTAAAATAGTAATTAACATTATAGATAATCTAGTTAACTATTAGTTATTAAATTTAATGAGATTAACTTATAGCTGTTATAAAATTACTTTATAATAAGATAACAAATTTTACAACAGCTGTAAATAATAAAAAAAAGATTATGATAAATTGAATAATTTAAATATTATGGTGAGTCAAAAAATATTTGCAATGCTTATTATTATTAATATGTTTTAATAAAATTTAAAGATAAAAAAACTAAAATATTTACTTTTGAACTGTAAAGAGGATATGCAATGTACTTTTCATGAAATTCTGGTGGTTTCTGAGCTTCCATATAAGTTCTTATATAGATATTTTAACAGATTATCATATGAATCAATCAACCTTGCTATGAACTCAATGGGGATATTATTTCACTCTTCTTGTAGTGTCAATTTTAAATCATCTCTGTTCAAAATGTAGCAACTTCTTATTTTCATCTTAAGATAATCCAATACATTCTCAATGGGCTTGACATCAGGACTTTGTACTAGAGTTTCAAGATAATGGGGGTGTTGTACAATAATCACATTCAGGTGTTCCAAGCTCTATGCTTTGAATTGTTGGCTGCATAAAGATAGAATCATTGGAGTCACATCTTCTGAACACTAAAGGTCAAATTTTTTTTCAATTTGCTAATGTAAGTATACTTTATCCATTATGCCATGGATGAAATGTAGAGCATGCATTCATACATCACCAGATAAGCAGTAATTATCCATTGTGTTTCATTGAGAAAGAAATGCTTTCTTTGTTCAATTCTGTATTTGGTTTACACCACAACAGACAACTTTTATTGGACTGGAACACATTGAATTTGTTTTTGTCAGTGAATGTGACTTTATTACAGAAGGTTTGGGGTGAATTGTGACATTCTCTAGCAAACTATAATCTTTTCTTCTGGTTTACTTCAATGATTCAGCATTTTCTCTGGGCAGTTCTACCATGGGTATCCTTTCTAATGCTGTGCTGACATTTCAGACTTTGCTATGTAATATCTTTCCAGTATTATTTTCCACTTCAGCTGCAATCTTCAGGGCACTTATCCTAAGATTTGTTTTGACTTTTCTCATCATATTTACATCATGCTGATTTTAAAATTGGACGATGTAGGTCTCTTGGTTTATTGTAGTTTGCTACTGTCTACATATATTGAACAGTTGAACAAGATCTATTCATGCTTTTGGCAATTTCACTTAATGATTCTCACTTACTATGGAGGCTTATGACTTTTTTGGTCCTTCCAGAGTTTTTTTTCTTTATGGTCCATCTTGTTTATAAATATCTTCCTATGGTGTAACACCTTATGATGACCTAGTAGTGTTATCTATGGTCGATCAGACATATTCTCATACCCATAAAAGATAGTGTATGAATACTTTCATGCCAAATGATGTTGGACCTAATATTGTTTGTTTTATTGTCAAAAAATGTGTAATGGTAAATTTTAATAAATGCAACTCAAAATGTTCCATTGCAAAGTATGGATCATACATTCATACATACGAAGTGTAGCCACCACATCAAAATTACTTTACAAATAGAGACATTATTTAATTTTTATTGAAAATATTTATATTGTATGAATACTTCCTACACTCACTGTAATGCTATATTGGTCTCATTGACATGAAATGTTTGGGTAGAAGCAGAGTTTTTAAGAAAAAGAAATGATGCAGTCAAAAGGAAATGTATGTACTGTACATAATATAATATATAATTTCAGAATGCATCAACAGAACTTAGTGAGATGATTTTATGGTATATTTGAAAGAAAAAATTCCATATAAAAAATTCTACATTTAATTGAGAATTGAATTAAATGAATTGCAAAATATTTGTAATATTTTATCATTCTGTTTATTTTTAGTATACTGTACATATTTTCTAAAATTTCAGTTTCTTATTGTATGTCTGCAAATTGTATTGATATTACTGTTAAGTGTTTGTAGAATGGTAGGTGATGTGTATTGTCTATAATTTCATTAAACACTTCAATCAAAAGCCTTAAATTGTATTCCATTAATGCCATGTACACAATGGATAACAAGGTGCATGCCTTCCTTGACAAGGTACCATCACCAAGAGATCAGAACATGCTGACTCTATCAATATATTAGAAGCATTAGAAATATTTAAATCTGACAAAAAGGGTCACTGCATAAATTTTAAAGATGGAAAAACAACTATCATATGTACGGCAATCCTTATGAGATCATGTGACCAAATATGATGTAACAACATGACATAGGGACAATATAATGAAGTGCTCTTGGTTATAATTATATAATCTTTAAATGTTTATTTTTTTACTTTTATATTTTTGGTACCTCTATTTACTTTTATATTTACTGTTACTTTTATTTTTATTTTATATATATTTTGAGAATTTATTTTTTTTAATTTTTTAGAAAATGTCATTATTCGAATTCCATCATTGAATATACAGACCTCTCCAATTGCAGATTGAAAATTTTAGTTGAAAATCCATTTTTTTTTTTTTTTAATTAAGCCTTACTGGAATACAATTTAAGGCTTTTGATTGAACTGTTTATTACATTATTTCAGTCTACTAAGTGATGTTTTAACTCTTATAATTTCATTATTAATTACTCTTTAGTCATCATAGAAAACATATGATGATGTGAAGCCATTCTGCTTGGCTATTCTGAAGCATTGTGCTTAGCCATTCTGATCACATATCATCTCTGTAGACATAGAGCCTTTTGAACACTTCTGTTCTCATAGATGTTACCCAACAGCAAAGTATTTTTTTTTACTGCTGGCATATTCTGTTGGATTTCAGCCCTGCTATTTTTTCTAGTCATGGAATCTAGATACAAATTACTTATCTTTGTTTGTTTCAATGGAAAAGGTTTTTTTTTTCCTGTTTATTCATGTTTAAGGTTAACAAACTTAGCACCACAATAATAGTTGGCAAATGGATTTTGATTATTATACTTTTGTAGTTTTGATTACATAATTGTATAAAAAAGAAAAGAATTGCAGTATTTTTGACTAAACATAATAGAATATTAGATTTTACTATTTGTTATATAGTTTCACTAGTTTTAAATTTTTAGAATTTTTTTAAAACAAGAAATCTCTAAATTAAATGTGATTTTATTTTTAGGCTAATATTATTAAATTAGTCAATATAACTAATTTGTTCTAAAGTAGTTTCAACATCAAACTATTTAAAAAATAAAGATTTAAAAACAAAAATATTACTAATTTTTAAAATATAGAATAAATGAATCAAAAACATATTAATTAAATTGCTTTTAAAACTTTGCATAAGAATCACTGAATGAATTGATTCAATTTTGACTAGGCTTAATATGAAAATATATGTCAAGCTAATAAAGCTATCCTGAAAAGTCAAATCTTTCATCTCTTTATATAATTTAATGAATAACTTAATAACGTTTTTCAACTATTCATCCAAAAAAGGAAAATACTGAACTAAACATTGTCCCATAACAAACAAATACAGTAAATATAATACAGTAAAAAAGATAATCTCTATACAAAATCCAAATCCATATATGCACAAACAATACATAATAGAACAATAATCATAACATATGCAACTTCCCTTGCATAATACAACTACAGTACATAAATAAAATATCCGGTACAAGAAAATATAATTACAAAAACATAATGCAAAATCCCAGTGGCATGCGATGACATTTGACGATAGGGAAAATGTGCTGGCCCCAGATAGAATCATTGGAAGCGTTATACAATATTTTGGTGTGTAGCATCCACAAGTTAAACTGTGTGAAGTTGATGCTCTGTAAAGTGCATGTGTGAATGCCTGTAATCTGGCTGCTTTACACCATTCAATAATTTGGCTGTGGAAGCTATCCCATGTTTGACAATACAGCGCTTCCATTGGGAATGTGTATATATGAATTTATATTCGCAAATACAATAGCCATCTTAACATTGTTTTTCACATGTAGTATAGAAATTTGTAATAAAATACACAATACGGTCATAATAAAATATTAATTTTAATTAATTCAAACTATGTTAAAATATGAAATTAATTGCACAATATGTATTTATATTTTATAAAATACAAGGGAAGCAGTGCTTCCACAGCTTCCATGGATGGCATGCCACTGCAAAATCCCATACATGATAATTAGTCCTTATTATTCCAAAACATACACAATTAAGTAGTAAGCAAATTGTGACAACCTGATGCCAAAACATTACAAATAAATGGAATTTAACATTGAAATATTTAATTTCACAATAATAAAAATATTTTATCTTTTGAAGAGAAATATGTTAATAATTGAGAATGCTAAATATGATTTGAGAAAAATTTTATTTTATGTATATTTATGTTTTTATTTATTTTTATAATAAAATAGACAGTCAATTAAATTTTCTAACTAATTTATGCAGATTTAAAAATATTTCACATACAGTACACCATCAAATTTCTACCACTTTTTTCCAAAGCCTTGCTGGATTAACCATTTTGTTGGATCAATCATGGTCAGGTATAATAATAATTCATCAACACACATCTAACCCACTAGTTGTATACCTCCCATGTACCAAGAACTGCTAGAAACTTGGATTGATATGGACTAGTTTTTACATTTGACACCACCACTGATATTCTTATCTCTTAGAAGCCAAAGCTAGGGTTAAATTTAAGCAAAATAATCTAAGGATATCATAGAATTGCTGTATTACTATCTTGTTGGTGGTGATAATGCTGTAAATAAGCATGCCCTAAACCCAATGCCATCTGCAGCTACCCAGTAAACTAGTCTAGTGGCCACAGGAATTTCAAGTTCCCTCTTGTAATTTTTTCTGGATTGAAGGAGGTGCCAAAATATTAATTACCAGAAATTTGATGGTGTATCTGTATTATAACAGAAACATAATAAACTTTTTACTTTCTACTATATTTATATA